TCCCGAGAATTGTGAACATCTGCTGCCGAACCGAAGAGGCGTTGAACCAAATGTTTGATTTCATTCAAAACAATCCACAAAAGATTACTCGAGATTTTTTGGCCCTTTTGGCCGATACTATGAAAACAAAATCTGTAATTAATTCTTCGGGTCTTCCGTATAGAGGTTTGAATATATAAGTGATGTTTAATTGATTTATAACTTTTGTAATTTATATCTATAATTAAACGTTAGGCTCAATGATTATAAAGCAAATAAAGTCTACAACTAATGACACGGAATATAAATATAGCCGACAATCAGCGCTGAGTATGGATAAGACTAGACGTCCCGTTTGGTTCCTATTCCCGGGTTTGGGCGGACAATGGGTCGGAATGGCTAAGGCTTTGATGGCAATCGAGTCGTTCGCCGATAGGATAGAGGAATGCCATGAAATACTGAAGTCGTTTGGAATTGATTTAAAACATCTCTTATTATCTGACGATAAAAACTCAATGTCTTCAATGACTAACAAATTTTGTGCCACAACTGCTCTGGAGATCGCATTGTTTGATGTATTGATAGCACTGGATATCAAACCGCTGCCATATTAACCGGTGAGCAAACCTCTCTAACGGACGCGAATGCGACTGCCCACAGACTGGCGGTTTCTCCGGGATAAATAATGTATGTAATCTCCTCGGCAGTGACTTTTACTATTCTTCTATTTGAAAGGACTGATGGCTGTCGTCGGCATGTCGTGGACTGAAGCCAAGAAGATATGCCCGAAAAATGTTAGCGTTGTCTGCAATAACTCAAAGGACACGATTGTCTTCTCAGGTATTTATTGGCAGAAAAATTATAAAATTTAATTAAAAAATTGTTTTATTTATTTTTAGGTCTTTATAAAGAGATGAAAGAATTAATTGAATCGCTTAAGAAGAAGGGCCTATTTGTGCGCGAACTCGACAGCCATGACATCCCATATCACAGCCAATATCTGCTGTCATCGGCGAAGAAGATGACGGATGAGATCAAAAAATGTGTTCCCAATCCGAAACTCCGGTCTAAGAAATGGATCTCAACAGCGATTCTGGAGTCGGAAGTGAAGGAAGAGTTGAAATACGCGTCGGCCGAGTATTTTGTCCATAACCTCATTAGTCCCGTCTATTTCTACAACAAAATACATCAAATCCCCAGTAATGCCATTGTGGTAGAAGTGGGTCCGCACGCGCTCTTCGCCAAAATAGTCACTCAATCGTTGGAGTCGTCGACATATCTATCGCTAATCAAACGCGACTCAAACGATACCAATTTAGACAACTTTTTGGGTTCAATCGCCAAACTATACGAATTGGGTTTAAACCCAGCCATTGAGCGCCTGTACCCCTCTGTCGAGTGGCCGGTCGCCCGAAACACGCAGTCTATCAGTTCACTCATGACATGGGATCACGAGAAGAGTTATTTCGTGCGAAAGTATCCGGACTTTCACTTCAAAGGGACGGCTGCGGACATGACTGAGACAATAAACCTCTCGCGACAGTTCAAAGTCTTTCTGCCNCAGTCTATCAGTTCACTCATGACATGGGATCACGAGAAGAGTTATTTCGTGCGAAAGTATCCGGACTTTCACTTCAAAGGGACGGCTGCGGACATGACTGAGACAATAAACCTCTCGCGACAGTTCAAAGTCTTTCTGCCCGATCACGCCATCGATGGTAACGTCCTCTTCCCGGCGACCGGCTATTTGATGCTCGCGTGGCGTCATTTGGCCGCCATTAAGGGTCGCGTCTGGAATCAGATTCCGGTTCTCTTCGAAGACATTCAGTTCCGACGGCCAGTATTTCTCTCCGATTCGGACGCAACACGACTTAAAGTGAAAATTTTTGAACAAACGGGTAATTCATTGCGACATTTGAGTGATATTTTTTGTGAAGTTATTTGTTGTTATTACGCTATTAAAAATCCGCTAAAGCAATATTACCTTTTGTTGTTGTGCACAACAAACCCATTTTAAGCAACAGGGCTTCTTCTCAAAGATACGCGAGTTCTCTAGCGAGTGCTCAACCGGCCGCTATCGATTAGCGAAAAGGAGATCTCACTAAACACTGCCGATATTTATAAGGATTTACGAGCCGTTGGTTATGATTACGGACCCAACTTCAGAGGTCTTAAGCACATTAAGACAGACAACTTTGATGTGATCAAAGGGTGCGCCGAATGGGACGGCAATTGGATCACATTTATGGACAGTTTGTTTCAGACAATGGCTGTGGCCATGCCTTTCAGGCGTCTAATGGTTCCCGTTATGGTTAAGCGCTTGAAATGTGACCCCAAAGTGATGTACGACGCGATCGTACAAAACAAAGTGGTTGTCAATGAAGAGAAAGTCTTCGATGAGGAGAAGGCTATCAACGATGTGGTCAATAGAGAGCCAGAAAGCGATGATTTGGATAAAGACATCGAGAATATCCTCGAATTGGATAACAAACAGTATTTGGAAGGAGTTATCGGAAGTCGTTTTCATATCTATAAATCGATTCTTCCATTCCATGTGGACATGAAGTCCCGAATGATTGTCACAAACGGTATAGAGATTGAGGATCTGATGGCACTTCCCATTCCTCGCAAAAACAATGCCCAGGATTTGAAACTAGAATCGTATCAATTCATACCTATTGCGATAATTTTTAGGCGATTTCGTTATAATGGAAAACAACAACACGTGTTGTTTGGGTAAAATTCGTTGTCCCGAAGAAGAGTTTCTATGCGCTCAAGAGATCGCTCACGAGTTGGCCGGCGATAGCATTACCGAAAAGGAGATCTCACTAAACACTGCAGATATCTATAAGGATTTACGAGCCGTTGGTTATGATTACGGCCCCAATTTCAGAGGTCTTAAGCACATTAAGACAGACAACTTTGATGTGATCAAAGGTTGCGCCGAATGGGACGGCAATTGGGTCACATTTATGGACAGTTTATTTCAGACAATGGCTGTGGCCATGCCTTTCAGGCGTTTAATGGTTCCCGTTATGGTTAAGCGCTTGAAATGTGATCCCAAAGTGATGTACGACGCGATCGTACAAAACAAAGTGGTTGTTAATGAAGAGAAAGTCTTCGATGAGGAGAAGGCTATCAACGATGTGGTCAATAGAGAGCTAGAAAGCGATGATTTGGATAAAGACATTGAAAATATCCTCGAATTGGATAACAAACAGTATTTGGAAGGAGTTATCGGAAGTCGTTTTCATATCTATAAATCGATTCTTCCATTTCATGTGGACATGAAGTCCCGAATGATTGTCACAAACGGTATAGAGATTGAGGATCTGATGGCACTTCCCATTCCTCGCAAAAACAATGCCCAGGATTTGAAACTAGAATCGTATCAATTCATACCTAATGTCACCGATAATTGCATGGAAGAAACGGACAGACAGTATCTCTTTCAGTATTTAAAGGTCTGTTTGTTTGTAAGTTTTTTTTGTAATTGTTTTTTTTATTTAATCTTTGTCTTTATTTTAAAGGTGTGTTCGAGTGTTGCCTCGAAAGCGATGAAAATTCTTGAAATGGGCGGCTCTTTGACTAAAAACGGCGAAACACTTTTGTATGAAATGATTGAAAATCACTTGAAAGACATCAAAAACGATGAGATAATGCTTAAGACATTTGACAAACTATTAAAATCATTGGGCGATGAAAATCAAAATTTTGATAAGAATTCAGTCTCTAAATTGATAACTGATCTTCAAATTAAACCAGAATTTGATATGAGTTTAGATGTGGTAAATCAGGTCTCAAAGAACGAGCACTTGATTCGCTCTCTTCTGGATATTGTCAGTGAGAATAATGTCCCCAAAAAAGAGATTAAAGTATTGGAAATCAATTTAACAAATGGTCTGATGGCCAGAGATTAAATCAGGTCTCAAAGAACGAGCACTTGATTCGCTCTCTTCTGGATATTGTCAGTGAGAATAATGTCCCCAAAAAAGAGATTAAAGTATTGGAAATCAATTTAACAAATGGTCTGATGGCCAGAGAAGTGGACAATCATTTGGCTTCGGCTGCTATTTATCCAATTGATGTCAACTATACTATTGCTCTCAAATCTATTGATGGCATTCACGACGACTACAAGAATAAAACATTTAAATTGATTGAATGGAATCATAAAACCTCTTCATTTCCTACAGACATATCACAAACAGATCTCATTGTAATGAATGACAGCCAGGAGTTGATTGATGTCGAACTCGACACCTATTTGCAAGAGGTTTACGACAATATCGTTAGCAAAGGATTTTTGTTAACTGTTTTTAGATACAAAAACACAGAACCGGAGCTCATGTTGAAGACGTTGAGCGGACACAAGAGTTCACAGAATCACGACTTAGAGAAACGGATTTCTGACTTTGTTGTGAGCGCCAGAAGACTTGGATTCCAAGAGATCGGCCAAAAATGTGATTCTATTGGTTCACTGGCCGTACTGTTGAGGAAAGTGAACATAAAACCAATTATTCCCTCAAAAGATATGATAATTGAGATTAACTTAAATTCGATGCAATGGTTTGACTGCCTTAAGGAGAAGATGTGTAACAATAAGTCCGGCGATAATATATGGCTCGTCGCCAATGATTCTGCCAATAATGGTATCATTGGTCTCATTAATTGTCTGCGTTTAGAGCCGGGAGGGGAGCGAATCCGGTGTCTCTTTGACTGTAATCTCATTAAACTTACGGTTGATTTTTCAACCAAACCGTTGTCCGATATATTGACCAACGATTTGGCGATCAATGTGTTGAGGAACGGAAAGGTAGGCACTTATAGGCACTTGAATTTAGCCAAAAACTACGACAAAGTCAAGACCGACGAGTATTACCTAAATGTCGGTCAAAGCCGAGATATTTCTAACCTTCAATGGTATGACTCGAAGAATATAATCACCACAAAAGAGTTCTATGACTTGTGTAATGAACGCAAACATAAGATTAAGTGCAATGTCTACAGCTCTGGCCTTAACTTTCGGGATGTGATGCTCGCAACCGGTTTGTGTTGAGACCACTTAAACGCCGATTATTTTAATTAAATTTTACTTTTTATCGCATTTCAGGTCGACTTATGTCGGGACCGGAGAGTCTGTTCACAGACTGTGTGCTGGGCTTTGAGTTCGCCGGCCGTCGGGCCGATACGGGTGAACGAGTTTGCGGTTTCGATATGAGTCGGTGTTTCTCCACATCCATAGACGCGAACGAAGATCTCATTACAAAAATACCAGACAATTGGTCTATGGATGACGTGATCACTATTTTGAGCACATATAGCACCGTATGGTATGGTTTACTAGAAAGGGCACAACTCTCCAAATGTAAGTTATTTTGGTGTTATTTTTAAAGCATTTGATTTAATGTGTTTTTATGCATAGATGAGAGTATACTAATCCATTCAGCGGCCGGTGGTGTGGGACAGGCGGCCATTAAAGTGTGTCAGAACTATGACTGCGATATCTTTGTGACGGTCGGCACTGAAGACAAGAAACAGTTTTTGATGAATGAATACAATATTCCGGAGAACAAAATATTCAGCTCAAGAGATATTCAGTTTAAATATAAAATTAAGTCATTAACGGATGGAAAGGGAGTTAATATTGTCCTCAACTCTCTGACCGGCGATAAATTGGACGCCAGTTATGAATGCGTTGCCGATTGCGGCCGCTTTGTGGAGATCGGCAAATATGACCTCCAAATGAACAAACAGTTGGGAATGTTTTCATTCCTCAGAGATATTTCTTTCATCGGCGTATCAGTCGATAGGAAACTATATCTCACAAAAGGATTCTCCAAAAAGTTCTTCGATTGGATGCACGAGAACTGTGACAACGGAATGATTAAACCAATTAATAGAACCGTCTTTAAGGCCTCGGAGGCCGAGAAGGCGTTCAGATATATGACAACCGGTAAACACATGGGAAAGATTGTCATCAATATTAGAGACGAAGAAAGTGAGAGAAAATGTGTGAACAAAATGAATGCCGCGATTGAAATGATGGTCACAACCAAAACATATTTCAATCCCAACAAAGTCTATATCATAACTGGAGGTTTGGGTGGCTTTGGGCTCGAGTTAGTGCATTGGATGCTTTTCTTAGGCGCCCGAAAATTCGTGCTAACCTCAAGATATGGCGCCAAAAGTGATTACCAGAAGTACGCGTTGAGTCGAATCCAGTCCTTAAGCCGTAAATTCAAAATGTTTGCCACAAATATAGTCGTCTCGACTCAAGACTCGAGTACAACGAATGGCACGAAATTACTGCTAAATGAGGCTGAGATGTTTGGCCCCATCGGCGGTGTTTTTCATTTGGCTCTCGTTCTCAATGACACACTTCTGGAGAAGCAAACCAGCGATCAGTTCTCTCAGACCATCGACTCGAAGGCCAAGATATTCGCTAATTTGGATCAAATCACTCGAGAATTGGCCATAGATTTAGACTATTTTGTGGTCTTTTCATCTGTAAGTTGTGGTAAAGGAAACGCCGGGCAATCAAACTATGGTTTCGCGAACTCTGTATGCGAACGCATCTGTGAATCGAGACGAAGAGTTGGTTTACACGGTTTGGCCATTCAATGGGGACCTATCGGTGACGTCGGAGTTATAGCTGATTCTGAAATGAGTTCTTTGTCCGGAATAGTGAAGCAACGAATCAATTCATGTCTCGATGTTTTGGATAAATTGCTACAAACGACACATTCTGTGGTCTCATGTGTTGTGAGTATTAAATTCAATAATTAATATTTGCTATAAATTTAAAACAAATTATAATTTTAAAGGTTAGAGCAAAGAGAGTGACACAAGAGGGGTCTCGTGAGGCAAAAATTGTGGGACAGGTTTGGCAGGCGTTAGGTATTGACCCGAAGACAACACCCGATCACTTGACTCTCGGAGAGATAGGAATGGAGTCTATGTTTGCGGTGGAGTTACAGCAGGGGTTGGAGAGGGAGTACGACATTAAGCTGACGATGAATGACATCAAATCAGTGACCGTTAAACACATTAAGGACTTCGAGTCGGGAAAAGTGGAGGAATTCAAGAAATTCACTGAAGAAATACGTATAGCTCGGGAGAAGTTGAGCAAAATTAAGTTCATTATACCCTCCGATTCCTATACACCGCTCAATAACGTGAAGACCGGAAATCCGGTTTACTTTTTGCCGCCACTCGAAGGCATCTTCGCGTCGATGGAAGTGTTGGCCGAACAACTGAATCGACCCGTCATTGGACTCAATTGGACGCGGAATACAGAGAAAATGGGTTCAATCAAAGAGATCAGCCGTTACTACACGGATCTGATGCAAACACTTCACCCGTCGGGCAACTATGACATTGTGGGTCACTTTTACGGCGCTCTCATTGTGTCAAAGATGCTGAAGAAGGCGCCCATACGTCGAGCGGTGATCATTGACGTGATGTCCGACACGAATCTGGACGAAGAGATGACGAACGACGAGTGTATCGTCGAAATGATCACTAAATTCATCTGCAAAGACCTGCCGACCGCTATCAACGATAAGCTGATGCGCGAAATTAAACTCAAACACGACGTGACGGCGAAACTCAATAAATTGAGTTCAGAAGTGAAGGAGTTTGTGGGCAAAGGGTTTGTCTCCCGAGACTTGGACGACATCCTCACCAATTCGTTCAGAAGAGCCAAACTCTTCAGCGCTTATCGACTTAATATGAAGAATAAAGTGAAACAAATGAAACTCAATGTCGGCAAACGGTATCTGGAAATGAGTGGCAAACTCTTGATTATTAAGCCGATGACAGACGACAATAATAACGACAATAAAAGCGCCCATATGTCCGATCGGATCCGCGACTCGTACTTCTTGCCCGAAAAGGTCTGTATCTATAATAAGCGTATGATTTGTTGTATGAATTGTTTTGTTTGAAATTATTTTTCAGGGATTAGAAGGAAAATTAAACTTCGAGACCATTAATACCAATTCGGATCACTTTTCAAATGTCATCTTTAATCAAATCGCCGTCTCTTTAAACACATTTTTATCACAATAATTAATTTGTTTCTTTTGTTAATTATTTTTTGACTGCCTTTCCTTTATATACAGTATTTATACGAATTTTAAACCTTAATTATTGTTTACTTGTAACTTATAATTAATATAAACACAAATAAAAAAATAGTGACATTTGTGTCAAACAAAAACAGCTTAATTTCAATTAAAGAGATCAAATATCCCGTATTTATAGTCTTAGTCTTGAACTTTTATTAAGAGAAAAATACAAAAACGATTAAAAAATCAATATTGAAATCACTTCTTGAAATTGGAGAAGAATGAGACCTCGCGATTGAGTTGACTGATCTCGTCGGCGAGACTCAAGCCCAAGGCGTCGGAATTGCTGTCAAAAATGGGCGCGAGTGGGCTCTCGAAGGCCACTGTGTCGAACGGCTTGTCGTGATCAGCGATGTTGTCCGAGTCTACGCCGGATTCCGGGTCTTGTGAGAAGTTTTTCGTCCTTTTAGATTTAATACGTGTTTTAAAGCCTTGAAACGCGTCCTTCTTTTTGGCGGCGAATACCTTCTTATTCCTGTTCCCCAACTGAGTGACAGTCTTTTGGCTGAGTTGTGGCGCCGGCACCGACTTAAGCACCGCCCGCTTCGGCGCCGGCGACGACGACTTCACTATCGCTTTCATTACCACCGGCTTTACCGTCGCTTTTGTTATCGGTTTTTGTGATTCTTTAGTCACCGCTTTTGATGTGGAAAATGTGGGCATTTTGATGGTCTGGTTGAGTGTGGAAGCGCTCACTTCCACATTGGTTTCGAAATCTGGGTCATCTTGTTTATCATTATTGTTATCAGTACCGTTGTTGTCAATGTCTCCGGCGTCAATCGCACCATCAATTGGGTCCACATTTTTTGCATTTAATATGTAACCAAAATTAATTACAACCGGCAATAAAAAATACCAAACTCTCATTTTTCACACCATTTATATAGTAATCATATATTTAATATAAGGGTAGCAATATTTTAGATATTTTTATAGTTATTACTACAGGATAAAAACCAACTGTTATTTACAAATAATAATTAATTAATTACTTAATCGTGACGAAAATGTAATATAATACATGTTATATGCATTTTATTTAGATTTTGAAAATAATAATTGTTATTGAATATAAATTTAACTTAATTTAATTTTTATTGTTATTTAACGTAAAGAAAATGTCAATTAAAATTTATATTGTTAATAAATGTAAAAATAATTGTATAGTTAACATAAAGTGGTGGCTTAAGTATTACGAAATGGGTTCGTGTTGTACATCAATGAATGGCCAAAATGAATCGGTGCCGACACAGCGGAAACAACAGCTTAGTAATGGCCAACCAGTGGTCGCACCGGGAGATGGGTCTCATTGGATACCATCAAACAATAATAGTGGGAATAACAGCAATAATAATAGCCTTCGCCTGCCTTCCAGTCCCACACAGATTAGGACGAGTGAACTGACGCTCATATATGACGTGCCGTCGCAACAGTTTAAGACCGAGGATGAGATCGTGAGAGCGCACGGATACGAGTTGTCCGCTTTGATAGCGAAGGGAGGTTTCGCCACCATATATAAGGCCCGACGGGTGAGCACCGGACACACGGTCTGCTGTAAAGTACTCGATCTGAGCACCGGGTGGTCATACATAAAGATGGAGCTGTTTGTGATGGAGAGGACACGACATCCAAATATCATACAACTCTATGAACACTATATGGTTAGAGGACCGGAAGGTAAGTGTTTGGTGTTTATATGGATGCAATTCGCGCCGTTTGACACGTTGTCAAAGTACATGCGGGAAGTGTCTCACCCGCTGACCGAACCCGTGGCTCAGGGAGTGTTCGCCCAAATAGTGGCCGGCGTTAGGCATATGCACAACAAGGGCTTCGCGCACCGGGACCTCAAAATGGGTAACGTATTGCTCGGCGAGAATCTACACGTTATGCTATCGGACTTTGGACTCAGTTCTGTGGCCTTTCGCGAGAGCAGAGGCGGGACAGTAATGTCGACCACTTTTTGCGGTACAATCCCTTATATTGCACCAGAAGTGTTGAAAAACCATAAGCATAGGCAGAATCCCTACAATCCGTTTATTGCCGATATGTGGGCGTTGGGTGTAATCCTATACTGTATGTGCAATAAGGCCTATCCGTTCAATGATGAACACGGTCAGAAGTGTTGAAAAACCATAAGCATAGGCAGAATCCCTACAATCCGTTTATTGCCGATATGTGGGCGTTGGGTGTAATCCTATACTGTATGTGCAATAAGGCCTATCCGTTCAATGATGAACACGGCTTAGAGATCATGATTAACAATCAGTTGCACTCCAACTGGAGTTTCTCAAGATTTATAACAACTCCGCCGTCCACTCAATTGTGCCATTTATTACGGCAACTGTTAGAACCCGATTGTCCCAAACGCTTAACACTCGCACAGTTAGCTCAACACAAGTGGGTTAGCGATCACATTAAAGACATCCCTCTTTAGGTCCCAATCATTAGTTGTGGTAAAAATATAGATGTTTTCACACTCTTTGAGATAAATAATTTAAACAACAATTATTTGAGACAAAAACATGTTTATTAAATGCTAAAACAGTTGAGATTTTTTAATTGATAGTTTTATGTGAATGTTTTTTTGTGCGTTTTCTGGTTTTTATATATTTTACATAAAAATGTTTCAGAAGTGTTGAAAAACCATAAGCATAGGCAGAATCCCTACAATCCGTTTATTGCCGATATGTGGGCGTTGGGTGTAATCCTATACTGTATGTGCAATAAGGCCTATCCGTTCAATGATGAACACGGATTAGAGATCATGATTAACAATCAGTTGCACTCCAACTGGAGTTTCTCGAGATTCATAACAACTCCGCCGTCCACTCAATTGTGCCATTTATTACGGCAACTGTTAGAACCCGATTGTCCCAAACGCATAACACTCGCACAGTTAGCTCAACACCAGTGGGTTAGCGATCACATCAAAGACATCCCTCTTTAGGTCCTAATCATTAGTTGTGGTAAAAATATAGATGTTTTCACACGCTTTGAGATAAATAATTTAAGGTTGTTAATAAACTCTGTTTTTGTACAAATAATTTACGATTTTGTCAACTCTAAAAAATTAACTATCAAAATACACTTACAAAAAAACACGCAAAAGACCAAAAATATATAAAATGTATTTTTACAATATTTTTACGCTAGAACTTTAAAATATTGATTGATTTATGTGATTCTCATTGGAAACAACGATTACACCAACATTTTGTAACTTAGATACTACAAATCTCAATTGCACGTTAAATAAAAATATGTAAATATTTCTAAAGACCATAAACTGTTTTATAATTCCTTATTTTATTGACCAATATATAGGTAGGCATTAAACACGGATTATCACTGATAATCGTTTAAAAGACTAACGAAAATGTAATTAAAATAAATGAAAAATTGTGAAAATACAGTATATTTGAAGAAAAGTTTTAATTAATGTTTTTTGTGACAGAAATATTTATAATGTTTATTCGATTTCTTCATATTTTTTGTCCATTTGTAACAAACATTTTGTTTATTTTCCCGAAACATACGATCGACTAATTAATTTGAAAAACAAAACAAAATAAATCTTTCCAAATATATGTCATTTAAATCACAGGATCAGTGAATTTAAATATTAATAGTTATTGAAAAAAGAAATATGAAAATTGAGTTATAAAAAACATTACCCTTTCTTTAAATGCAGAGATTTTGTGAACCAATTTCTCGGATAAATCGTAGAGAATATCAAATAATTCAATGTATAACTGATCGGACAAACCATTCCTGTTGTGATACATGGCTTCAGCAAAACAACGTTGAACTACACTCAAAATAAAAGTATTAAAACTTTTAACAAAGAACTTTTCTTTAACTGTAAAAACTGATTTTGTGCACAAATTGATTGCCAAAAATAGTGTGCGATATAAAACAGTTTTACCACTTTGATGCTAACTTTTTCATCATCATAATATTCACTTATACAAAAATATATAGCTTTTTGTGCGAATTATAACCGGTTTTTAAATGTGTGCGAATAATTTGAATATATTTCTCATAAAACTTTGCAAAACTCTACAAAGTTTATCGTGAAATGTGAAAAACAATGCGATTATAACTTCTTTTGTTGTAAATATTTTGATGTATTTTGTTTGACTTGAATATTGTCTGCAAATTTTTTTACTTAAATAACAATCAAGTGTTAAATACCTGTACATTATATACACACACGATGTGCACCTGTGTATGATTTTTGCAATTTCTGAACAAATAAAATATACATGATGTAGTACAATGTATTTAAAAAATGCACATGATCGTTTAGAAATCAGAAACGCATATAAAAGGGTTATTTAATTAAAAAGTCACATTTTATTACCTTCACTACAATATTGTCTCAATTGTCACATAATAACGAAAATATGTATTTATTTTAATGGCAATCAGTCACGCGTTTAAACATTTATAATCATCTACTGATAGTAAATAAAATAAATACAAATTCAAATGAGATAGAGTATTGTATAGTGGAGATGTAGAAATACAAATATGGACAATCGCCTACACTTGTTAATTACAATTGTTACAATCATAACTTTAAGTAAATTGATGACAAACTTTTGTGTTTTGCTGTAAACAGTGTTTTGACACGAGTGTAGGACTTATAATAAATAATTATATTTTGTTTTAATTAAAAACCTAATTAACGTTAATTTTGATAACACTTTTAATTATCGTTTTAATGACAATTTCACGCTTATATTCGTGTAATATTACAAACATTTCATTATT